GACCGAGGCTAACAAGCAGAGGAATCTTTTTAACTAGCATCATCTCAAACACTGGTTAGCTTACCGCCAGCAGGTCCAGGCCGTTCTTGTCCAGGTTCTTCACCATGGAGGACAGGTTTCCGGACTTCCACTTGGGGAAGGTGTTTTTGTAGTCGGGCAGGCTCTCCACCTCGGGCCACACGTCGTTGTTTGGGGTCCCCAGGGTCCTGGAGGGAGCAATAACACAGTCAGATCACAGGAGAAATCTCTGCGTGAGAACCAGAGTTTGTGGGGTCTGATACTTCTGGACATCCTGGCAAACCCCGCACTGGTTTCAGCTTTTCTGACAAACTGATACTGCTATCAGTATATTTACTATCAATATCTGGAGCATTTTTCACCCAGGCAGTTGTTTCCTAAAGGCAGTTGTTTCCTCCCTGTGTCTCCTAGTGCTGCTCTTGGTGGGAATTGCTGTTGTTCTGTAAATAACTCAGTTGGTCTGACCTGCTCTGTTTGGAAAGCTGGGAGAGATTTGGCGCTATAGAAATAAACCTGAATTGAACAGACGATTTGCTCCTGGAGCAAACGGCTGTCAGCTCAGATCCTGACTCAGGGTCTGCCTTAGACTGGTGGTTTCCCTCTTCCCTGTCCTTAACTCATTGGCTGCCAAAGACGTGTATAGACGTAAATTCAAATACAAACGTTCGCTGCCAAAGACGTCTATAGAGGTCTTTTATGTTTTTCAGCGAGAGTGTGTGGGGGACGATCTGCTAAAGCTTGTCCGTAAATATGGGCTTCTAAACAGAGTATGTAGTAACAAATTGAGCCTCTAGGGGGCAGTGCCACTTTTGATGGGAGATGAGCATAGACTGTAGGCCAATAAGAAAAAGGGAACGGTTCTATGAGAGAACATAGAACCCAGTGAGACGCAAGTCCAGGAAGAACGGAATAAGGTAGAAACACATTTTTTTTCCTGATGAAAGAAGAGAGTCTACTCTTTCTTTTGGTGTGTTCGGTGTTTACATAGTCATAGCACAAACTATTCTGTAGCTCTAGAAAAATCAGTCAAAATGCTGAAAAAACTCTGGCAGTATGGGACTCTGTTCTGAAAATGGCTGGCAGTCAATGAGTTAAACTCCACTCAGGGTTCTGGCCGGTGGGCGTGCGGGTCCGTCTGTACCTGAAGATCCTGAAGAGCTGGTCTATCTCTGAGTCTCCGTGGAACAGCGGCTTCTTGGTGGCCAGCTCAGCGAAGATGGTTCCGGTGCTCCACACGTCCACCGGGGTGGAGTACCTGGGCGAGCCCAGGAGGACCTCTGGAGCCCGGTACCACAGAGTCACCACCTGAGAACCCACTCTGTCATTTATCCACACAGAATGGCATCTGAAAAAGTAAACGTGGGTGTGGTGTGGAGGCTCCCACCTCGTGGGTGTAGACCCGCACAGGGACCCCGAAGGCCCGGGCCAGGCCGAAGTCGGCCAGCTTGATCACCCCCTTGTTGTCGATCAGGAGGTTCTGGGGCTTCAGGTCCCGGTGCAGGACTCTGCGGCAGTGGCAGAAATAGATGCCCTCCAAGATCTGGTACAGGTAGCTCTAAAGAAGAGGAGAAGTGATGGTTCAGCTCTAGAACAACAACTGAGGAGGAGGAAATACAGAGGAGTGAGGAACAATGTGTCCATCTCTGCTAGGGTTGTCACCATACTAAAGTTTTCAACTGGATACCGATACTCAGGAAATACTCGACACCCTATACCATTTTCGATACCACAAGGATTAAAACAAAGACCCCAAAATGTAACTGAATTTTGACAGGTTAGTGTCTTTGGTTTCAAACTGACCTGTTACTGATGTTATAGTGGCCCACATTAATGACCCTAACCCTAACCCTAACCCTGACCCTCCAGCCTTCATAATTGTGAGAAATAAATATTGTTTGGTTAAACTTGTTTGGATTTATTGTTCATACCTATTTAACATCCACTATTTTAACAATATATTATGGATAGAGTTTAATTCAGTGTTTGAAAGATTAATTTCACTATTTTTAAATTAATGTCTATATTGCCATGAAGCACTTAGGATTTTCTTGCCTGGGATCTTCCTATTGGTGACCTAATCAAAATGGCCAACTTAGATGTGGATCGATACTTTTTTAAGTATCGATACTTTTGACAACCCTAATCTCTGCTCAACTCAGATTACAGGGACATGGGACCGGCCTGGACCAGAGCCTCCATCAGTCAAACACGTCACGCTTAAACGACCCCCATCAGGAACAGACTGACACTGAAAGCCTCAGGACTAGGGATGGGAATGGAAACCCGGTTCTATCAAGGACCCGGTTCCAACACCGTTTGGGCTTATCGATACCACTATGGAGTCTGGTGTTTTTTTATTATTACAATAGTAATTGTGAAATCCGTGTTGTAATCGGTAGCATACAAGCTAGTTAGCTTGAAAAGTAAATAAAGTTTCAGACGTGTGTTCAGATTGGCTCAGTAAAACGACAATTAGGTCATCATGATGCGTTCAAGTGTAACGTTAAGAAAAGGGAAATTGAGTTTTTGGCGAGAAACATGAGTAATACAGTTGTATATTGCTCTAATTATTTTAGAATATATAATTAAACTACTGATGCCAACATTTATTAAAAATGACATTTAATTTAAAATACAATTATTTATTTGCTAAATATTGTCGCATCGTCTTTCCACCAAATAACAGAAAAGTATGGATAGTGGTATCGATAAAGACTCGGATCGATAAGGAGTATCGATAAAGGTATCGATATCAATAAATATTAACCAGCCCCATCCCTGCTCAGGACAGCCCCCCCCAGCCTAAACAGCAGCTGGCAGCTACCTTGACTAGCATAGCGTCCATGTACTGTCCAGAGGGGATGGAGTCCAGGTACTTCTTCAGGTCCATGGACAGGAACTCAAAGATGAGGTAGAGACGAGACTCCTGCATCAGGACATCCAGCAGCCTGTCACATCAACAACAAGCACAGGGTGAGACCGTGTCTCACTACACAGCGGGTCAGATCAGTTATCTGGGGATTGGGTGGATGCTGTTGAAAAAAAGAGGTTTAAAAAGGACAGAATAATGTGACAAAAAACAGACTGCTGTGTGTGGATGGAGGCTGTGGCTGATTCCCCCCTCTGACTCCAGCTATACAGGACTGAGAAAGGGATTGGGTGTGCAGGGAGCATGTGGTGAACAGGTAATGGCAGGGGAGGTTTCCAGCATCTAAACCAGGGGTGTCTAACTCAAATGGACAGGGGGCCAAAACTCAGAGCACACCTAATGTCTGGGACCGAACAGTATAAACATTTATTGAATAGACTAAATATTTATGTTTTTGTATTGATATAAATCAAAATACAGGATATCATTCCAAAATCAATACATTTCAACTTAAATTAACTTAACTTATATTTTGTTCTTCATACAAAGAATATCCTGTCAACACTATATACATTCAAAATCTGTACATGCTGGAATATACAAGTGAAAAATGTAATTTAAAGTAGAAAAACGTGACATTTTCAGTTTAGTCAGAGCCTGATGGTCTTTTCTTAGTTTTTTTTTGGGTGGGTTCTGTGTTGTGGGGATTCTCAGGATGGAGGCGGGTGTTCATCAGGGAGGAAACTCCTGTGTGAGGTTTTGCTCA